CCAGATACAACCCTAGCACTCCTCCATAGCAGAGCCTGGGGAAGCTTAAGACGCAGAGTGGAGAGGACACAAGGATCGTGGATTCTAGAGCCAAACATCTGCTTTTGTGCTTGCTACTAAGTGTGTCACACCTGCTTGGAGCTTTGTCTTGTTTGGTTTTGCTCACCTAGAAGCAGCAGGGTTTCAGATAAAATGAGGCCAACCCTGTGACTTGGTGCAGCTTTCCGCCCAGAGCAAGAAGCTGCCTCTCCTGGGCCCCTGAGCAGGAGCCTGGCCGGCCCTCCCGCCCTCCCCTCCCCAGTCAGGGTTGTTTACCTCCCACTGTGCTCCCACAGAGCTGCTCTTCACCCCCCTCTGCTCTCTCTTCAGAGTCAGGACTGTCTCCAGCTGGGGCCTCCTGCGGAAGGCGAGGTGGTTCAAGTGAGATGGACAGATGGCCAAGTCTATGGGGCTAAGTTTGTGGCCTCCCACCCCATCCAGATGTACCAGGTAGCCAAAGGTTCCTGAGTGGGCATTGGGGAGTGGGAGGGCACTTTATTAACTCCGTGTTTCCTGTTGAGCAGGAGGCTTGTCTTTGCTCCTGAGAACTTGCAGGTCCCAACAGCCTTCAGGTCTGGAGCTCTGTCTTGGGTTCACTTGGCTGTTGTGCCTTCAGACATGGCCGTCCTTCCTTACTGCCATGTTGCCTCCCTCCAGCTATGGGAAATTGCCACCGTGCCCGCAGGTCCAGTGGGACTCGGGTACCCTAGCTAAAAGGCCTTTGTTTGCTTGGCAGGTGGAGTTTGAGGATGGCTCACAGCTTGTGGTGAAGAGGGATGATGTATACACACTGGACGAAGAGCTTCCTAAGAGAGTCAAATCTAGACTGGTGGGTGTATGGTGTGCTCTCTGTGCCCTTAGCTCCTGTTTGGGGGGGGGGGATGGAGAACAGGGGTGTATGGTGTGCTCTCTGTGCCCGGGGCGGGGGGAGAGAACAGGGGTGTATGGTGTGCTCTCTGTGCCGGGCGGGGGGGGCGGGGCGGGGGAGAACAGGGGTGTATGGTGCGCTCTCTGTGCCCTTAGCTCCTGTTTCACGGGCGGGGGGGGGAGGGGAGAACAGGGGTGTATGGGGCTCTCTGTGCCCTTAGCTCCTGTCTCGGGGCGGGGGGAGAACAGGGGTGTATGGGGCTCTCTGTGCCCTTAGCTCCTGTCTCGGGGCGGGGGGAGAACAGGGGTGTATGGTGCGCTCTCTGTGCTCTTAGCTCCTGTCTCAAAGAGGAGAGAACAGGGCAGGAGAGTGTCCCTTTGGTGGTTACTGGGCCGAGTGGCCACAAAGTGACCGACTATTCCCTTGCCTTTTCTTCTGTAGTCAGTAGCTTCAGACATGCGCTTCAACGAAATTTTCACAGAGAAGGAAGTAAAGCAAGAAAAGAAAAGACAACGGGTCATCAACTCGAGGTACCGTGAGGATTACATTGAGCCGGCACTGTACCGGGCCATCATGGAGTAGATGCTTCCAGAATCTCAGAGGTTCCCAGCCATCAAGGCGAGAGCACTCGAGGGTTCCACAGCACAGCAGACACTTGGAACTCAAGTCTCAAAAAGTAGAGCTGTACAAAGAAAAGGAATGATCAGTACGACCCCATCACCTTCTCACTCCACCCTCATTGAATTCCGCCATGAAAAGACAAGCCTTTTGGGGGACACTTGGCAATAGCTGCTGGTCTCCAGCTGAGGGGCTGACACTGGAATGCAAAGACTGGATCGGTCCCCAGTCCAAACGGGTCAGCTGTGCCTGCTGGGCTGATTGCTCTGTCCCTGGTCCAGGACGTGGCTTCCTTCCGCCCACCTGCATCAGCAAGGCAGAGGTGCTGGTGCTTGACCCGATCCCCTTTTGTATTTATGTGCGTGTGCGCGTGCATGCATGCGTGTGTGTGGCTGTGTGAGTGTGTGCGCGTGGGTACGCTCGTGTGCTTGGTCTGGACCAGCTTCTGACAGCCCCTAGCCTTCACTTTCTTCTTTGCCTCTGCAGGGCAAACAAAATGTGAAATTCTGCCCTCAGCTGAGCTGAGTAAGGGCCTGGGGGATGGCTAGAGGTGGGTTACCATCTGTCCCTACCTGGACTGGTTTCAAGAGTGCTGGCAAAGCCACAGTGTTGAGATGCTAAGGAGCTGGCTGCCACCTCTTTGTCTGTCCTTGAAGTAGAACTCAGAGGTTACATACCATGTGCCCTTAAACTAGGCACAGAGCCCCCGGGGCGCAGTATTAGGGGGTGTGGGTAGGGACTACCTTGAAGGGAGAATTTTAATGATGGAAACAGGCAGAGCCTGGTAGGTGATTTTTTTTGTCCAGAGGAAATCACAGTTATGCAGGGGGCTGTGGGGTTTTAGGATGAACTGGGGCCACTGGGGGCCAGGGCAGGTATAGCTGTGCCCTTGGTTGGGGGTGGGGGGGCTGATTGAGGGGGGGCGGGTGGGACTAGAGGGCAACATTGAAGGGGTTAAACAGGTTTTTGCTCCTCTTGAATTTGTTTGCCTGGGCCTGGTATTGGAGGGCTTCATACCTTGCTCTGTATACAGGAGTCAGATTTATAATACTTCCCCTTTTTTGTTACCTATGAACTCTATAAACCAAATTATTTTGAAAATTGGTGCATTACCTTGTTCTTAGCAATAAACTGTTGAACAGAGGATGGACTGTGGTCTGCCCCACGGAGCCCAAGTGGCCCAGGGTCAGGCTGTGGAGGAGGGCCTGGGAAGCTGTTCACACAGGTGGGTGCTGTCCTTCTGCATTAGTCAAAGCTCTGTGGTCCATGAGCATCCAGGGCCTTGTAGCTGTCGGTGCCTCCTCCTGCTTTTCCTGGAGGAGGTAATGGAAAAGTGTCAGACTACAGTCTTCTCAAGCGTTTTTACTCGAACCCCATTTGATGTCCTCACTGTCCTGGGCCAAGTCCCTTCCATTCATGGGGAACCAGGAGGGAGTAGGGTATAGGTGCTTGGAAAGCTAGAGACTTGGTTTCCCAGTGGGTGCAGCACCAGCTCCCTGCAAAGCCTGTGGTAGGTGAGGGCTTGCCTGAGCTGTGGGGCAGCTGCTTCTGCACAGCCTAGCTGCTCCAGCCAGCCTTGAGCTTTGTGTCCCTGCGGCAGACCACTGTGTACAGAGTCAGTACTGCTTGGTCTCCCTGGAGCTGGGGGGCGGGGCTCTGCTTGGGATTGGTTGTGGCCAAAGGGAAGAGCAGAGTTTGAAAGATGTTTTCCCGAAGCTAACTCATCAGTGCCAAGGAAAGGGGGTTGACCTCTGTTCTTCACTCAGGGATTCTCAGGGGGGTATGGCTAGGGAAGCCAGGTAGGGCTAAGCTTTCCTGGAATGGTAAGTGGGACCCAGAAGCACTGGGAGGAGGGAGAAAACTTAATTTTCTCAGGTACCTGTAGATCCTCCCCATGATGCCGAAGGATTTGCTAATGGGGTGCTTGGTGTAATCCCAGCTGTATGGGAACTGAAGATTGAATTTAAGTCTTTGAGTGTATCAGGCAAACACTGCTGCTGAGCTACATCCATCCATCCACAGCCCTCTCTACTCTTCCATTTTTCAAAGATGGGTCCACCATGGGATGGAGAGATGGCTTAGCCATTAAGAGCACCTGCTGTTACAGGGGACCCAGGTTCAGTTCCCACTACCCACCTGGTGGCTTGCATCTACCCGTAACTCCAGTTCCAGGGGGTCTGAGGCCCCCTTCTGGCCTCCACAGGCACCAGAACATACGTGCATGCAGTGAAAGAACAAAACAGGGACCCACCAAGTTGTCTGGTCTGGTCTGGAGTGTTTAATCCTTCAGTTTCCGGAGTAGTTGAGTACACACCAACTCTACCGCCCTTGGCCAAGTCAACCATTTAAAAACACTTTTGGCCTGTGTAAGGAAACTCCAGCTCAAACAAGTGATGGGACTTTCCCAAATCTCACAACCTAGCCTGTGGGTTTTTGTTCTGGGCCTTGAGCATGCAAAACTTCATTTTGATTCCTTGCTAGACACTTCCTAGCCTGCGCAGTCAAGTCTAGGCTTATGAATGACCACAGCCAAAGGCTGCGTGTGTTTCACAGCAGCTTTTTGCCAAAGCAAAAGGAACGCCTTATGTAGAGTAGGGTGCAATGTTTGGGTTGGCACCCAAGAGTGGCAGGTTAAAAATCCCCACCTCCTCTTCGGGAAAATTCTGAATTAAACTGCCTTAGGTGGATTATGGGTTCGGCTGCGGGATGAGGGAGCGGCCTCCTGAACTGCTTGGGTATGTGGGGTGTTTTTGTGGCCCATCTGTGACATTTATACGAGACTCAAAAATTGGTAATAACGAGCCTGTCTGGACTTGGCTGGCCTATTACCCCCACAGGATTGGACAGGGCCTTAGGAGGCGTTCTGGGGGGTCAGATCACGACCGCTGGCATCTAGGAAACAGGCCCACGGGGGAAACAGGACAACAGAGCGGTGGGGTGGGGGCAGGAGACTTCTTCTGGGAGCCAGAGGCGACCTGACCGCAGCGGGGCCGCCCCACGATCGGCGGCTCCACACGGCGCTCCTCCCGAGCCCCAAATCCCGCAGCCCGGAGATGTGGGGAGCACTCGGCCTCCGGCTTCTATTGGGTCTCCCGGGTTCGGGCCCGCCTACCCCTGCGGCGGAGCCCCGCATTGGCCTGCCCGGCGCCCCGCCCGGTTCCGGTGCGCCCATTGGCTGCCGTTGCCCGACCCCCG